TTTACATACATATTTTCACTCGACATACATACATTCTCCTTTTACATACATATATTTTCACTCTTACATACATACATTCTCCTTTTACATACATATATTTTCACTCTTAAATACATACATTCTCCTTTTACATACATATATTTTATAATATGCATGTCTGAAGAGAATATATGTATGCAAGAGAAGAATGTATGTATGTGTGAAGACAATATATGTATGCAAGTGAAGAATGTATGTATGTGTGAAGACAATATATGTATGTGAGAGAAGAATGTATGTATGTGTGAGAGAAAGTATAGTGGAAACGGAAGGAGTATGGTTGAAACGGAAGGCAGGTCATTCTTGCGCTGTGATTGGCTCAGAAGGTCGAGCGGGGCGGGCTCATGTTCAGAACTTCTGATTTCAAATCAACATGATGGAGGGAGATGAATCGCGTAGATTGCAGCAAGCATTAGGGTTTTAAGGAACATTTTGTCAACCCCTGAAACTGTCACATCCCTGGCCAGGTGTCCTTGCGGGTGCGTTCGCTTTACTTATCAGAGCGTGCCGTAAGGGCGGTTACTCTTTGGTTTATAAACTCCCGCCTGGGACGGACTGATGCATTAGATTATGTGCTATATGGAGGGGACTTTGACAGAGTATTTCTCACAAAGTACACAGTAAAAGTACTTCAATGTATTGTTAGTAGCAGTCAAACTAGTACCGAGTCCAACAGTGTCAGTTTTATGAAGAACTTGTGGTAAAATATATTTGTAAAAAGAAAATGAAGAGCTACTGATTTGAAAAAACGGCTCTCTGTATAGTTTAAATATCCTAAGAATGTTGTCCATTTATTCTTCTCCCCTCGAGTCCAACAGTGTCAGTTTTATTAAGAACTTTCAGTAAAAAATATTTGTAAAATATGAAGAGCAGCTGATTTGAAAAGACAAACGCGAGAGACGGCTGAGTGACCGCAGAATCGCTGTATAGTTTAAATCTCCTAACAATGTTGTCCATTTTAGACACATGCTTATTATATTTACAGCCTTAATAACATTCATTTTCTGGGCTCAATGTGTGTCTTGGCCGTTTTCGTTGTGATCGCTAAATTCCCCTTGTTTCCCCTTGTTTATAATTATGTTCAACATTCCAAGCAAACGAGTGCTTTTGTTTTGAAATCACTTCCGCGAGTATCGCGCCCCCCCCCCCCCCCCCCTCGCTACAATGACCATTAGACCATTTAGTAAGGTAAAAAGCAAAAGCGCCTCGCAGACACTCTTCCGTTTACTTGTTTAATAAAGAAAAACAAGTGGTCCGTAGATACACGGAGTCATCTAACCCTAACCCTCTCCCTCCATCATGTTGATTTGAATCAGAAGTTCTGAACATGAGCCCGCCCCGCTCGACCTTCTGAGCCAATCACAGCGCAAGAATGACCTGCCTTCCGTTTCAACCATACTCCTTCCGTTTCCACTATACTTTCTCTCTCACATACATACATTCTTCTCTTGCATACATATATTGTCTTCACACATACATACATTCTTCTCTTGCATACATATATTGTCTTCACACATACATACATTCTTCTCTCACATACATATATTCTCTTCAGACATGCATATATTATAAAATATATGTATGTAAAAGGAGAATGTATGTATGTAAGAGTGAAAATATATGTATGTAAAAGGAGAATGTATGTATGTAAGAGTGAAAATATATGTAAAAGGAGAATGTATGTGCGTGAGAGGACCAGTATGAATTACGGCCTGTACGGCCCCTCATAGTTTACACTACACACAAGTATATTCTTAAAAAGGCCATTATAGTTTTAGTTTGAAAGTATATTTTGAAGGCGTTTCTAAGGAAATAATGCGTGACACTTACCTGTAACAGGTAATCATTGAGTGTTGCATTACTGCTTTTCCTGAATCAACATACCTGAATACCAGATGAAGGAGGTTTCATGAGTCTTTATTTATAGAAAAACAAAATGATTAATGTCAGATGTTGCTTATACAGTATAGCGTACAGGCCAAAACAACAACACAGCTCTCAATCAGCTGATTCTCGTTGTAAAGCACTCAAACTGGATCGAGATGATTGTAAAAATGACAACAAAACACAAAATGGAACTGTAATTAAAAATGAAAAAAGAAACAAATGCAACGGATGAAACCTTGTTTAAACCCAAATACTATTAATCTGCTTCATTAAATGTTCCACCAGTACAGTTTCACTCACCAGGAACATAAATACAGCAAGTCGTGAAATGAAAGCTATACAGGAAGTGCGTTTTTCAGAATAAGACACTGTACTAATATATATCAACAGCACTACGTGAGATAAGCTTCTACAGAAAATGTCTCCTCTAATAATCACTCCAGGAGAATACAGCCAGCATGCCCACTAAACCTCAAAATAAAATATATATCAAGCAGCAAAGCTGGACAAAATACAACATTCATACGTCGAAAATCAGCAAAAAGCGTTAAAGCCACGACATCCACTTTCACAAGAGTAATTACAGTCTGACGTCCACGATCTTTATAAGGGACTGTGTTACTATTAAGTTCATGCTAAGTTTTATTTGTTTTATCCGATGCTGCTGCTGCTCAATACACCTGGACAAATATGTGGTTTTTAGCTTAAATCAAAGTTGTATTTGAATTCCAAAGGGGATCCAGAACACTTTGGGGAAATGTGTTTATAATGTATTGCAACAGACGTGGTTAATTTCACTTTTTGAAATAAGCTTTGGATAAAAGCGTCCCCTAAATGAATGGTGTAAAATGTAATTTGGTGCAGCCCTTTCTCAGAGGAAACTTGTTTACGATATTTAAAAACACATCAAAAGACAGATTTGAGGTTCTTTTTGAGTGTTTTTTCATTAACAATATTGCAGGTTGATATCGTCTCGTCGTTTAATGACGTTGATACGGTGGCCCTGAAGGTCAAAACACAACATGTCCGAAGTTGTGTTTTATGAAATATTTTACTGTCATTTTAAAATGTACTTTGGATCCTCAGGGCCACCGTACTTTGGTGCTGTCTCGTAATGGATAAAACGTTATCCTATGTTAACGAAATTACCATCGCATTTCGTATATTTCTTTAAAAATGTTGGGACAGATCTGACGCTCCCAACAAACACAATTATAATTTAGTTTATCTATTATTAAGGTGCCTACACTATAATTGAATGTTAACTTGGTAGTCATAATTTACCCAACTTCCTGCCCCTGAACATTTCACTCGGTTTATCCCGGGTGCAATGAACTCTGGGTAATGAAGTCCCAAACCTTTCCCATGTGCAGCTTTAGCGTCTATCCAAGCGATCGCTGATGCTGCTTTCAAGCGCCTCTAAACTTCCCACTATTTTGCATACAGAAACCAGTCTGACGTTTAAATCCATTATCCGTTGTTTTATCTCCTCAGCGGGCGTCTCAGAGACCGGCTGAGGCCCGCAACGACCGAATTTCACCTCCCAAATGCTTGGCAGTATGTACAACATTATATGTACATCCAGATAAAAGATCAGTACACAAACTCCAGATCAACATTCATCGTCCTCAATCAACCATTTCCTTACCTTCCAGGCGTCCAGTGCTAATCACTGGTTATAATCCCACACATTTAGACTCCACAAATTAACCAAACAAACTTGAAACCTGATTTTCATCATTTGAAATAAAGATTCTTACATTCATGTCACGCTGTTTGAATCATATAATTCCACACCCTGACACTTTAATAAATAACCAGTTCGCGTTCGGATGAGTCCCGAAAAACCCACTTCAAGAGTTTTCTTCCGTCTTTAATACATTCTTGCAGATAAGAGTGTCCATCATCGTGGATGTCGACCAATCGCAGATCTTCTCTCTAAATCCTCAACGTTTCGAGGTTCCCCCGATTTGCCCGCCTCCTTTTCCTGTTCGATCTTACTTTGTGTATTCGTCCTCTGGTATCCGGGTGGCGCCTGCTTCTTCCACCGGACCTTCTCTCTTGGTTTCCATCGCAACTTCAGTGGAGGCAACTGGTTTCTCCTCCTCTGGGACTTTAGCTTCGGCTTCGGCCTCTGCTTCTGTTTCGCCTTCGGTTTCAGCTTCGGCGCCTTCCTGCCCTTCAGCCACCGCCCTCTCCTTCTTCAGTTTGATGCGAAAGGTCTCTCTGTTCGGCGCTTTCTTGGCGATGTTGTCCTTCAGACGCTCTCCGGACTGTTTTAGGCGTTCGCCGGCCTGATGCATCTTGTCCCGGCGCTCGTGAGGCATCACCTTCTCTCCCAGGTTGTGGAACTTGGTGCCCAGGTTTCCTCTGGTTTTGCTCATGTTCTCCTTGGAGAAAGCGGCCTTCAGGGTCTCGGTGCTCTTCACCATGGATTGTTTCATGCGGGTGGCTCTGGAGGGGTCGGCCTCTTCAACGCTCAGGTACTCTTCGTCCGAGGAGAGGTCGGCAGGGACGTCGTAGATGTCGGGTTCGACCTCCACTCCGTCCAAGCCGGTTCCTTTGGGAGACTTTGTGACGGCCACTGATGGGATCTCAGTCTCGCCCTGCGGAGAAGAAAGTAAACGGAATACAGTCAGGACAAAATGAATGTACAGAAACGCCATTTCTGAAAATATTCTCAGAAATCTGACCTATTTTTCTTTTTTTACTTTAGTAATTTCCCCATGAATGACTTTATATCTGCTTGTATAAAAGTCAGCCTGGGCAATGTTGCAAAGCAATGGTAAGAGCTGCTTTACGCATATGTTGAATTTTCTATCCTACTTTTGCACCAAGACAGTACATGGGGATAAAACTAAACAAATCATACCATCAGACCCAGGTACGCAACTCCCTATCTCTCGTAGGTCAACCTGGGCAATGTTGAATAGTAATTGTCATAGTTGCTTTGTGGTAGTATTGTTTTTTTATGAGTTTTACACAAAGACTGTAAAAAGAGGTGGATGTAGTCTCCATGACGTCATCCATTGGTCTTTGCATACGTTTAAAGTACTTTTTAAGTCTCTCTGTAGTTGTTTTGACTCTGGTTGTAGTTGTGTGTGAATGTACTAACTTATTTGTAGAAGTATTTGTAGTTAATACGTTTACATTATCTCCCTGTAGTCTTTTCATGTCCCTACAGAGACTCTTTCTGGTCAATTTGAGTATTTTTCCTGGTGGATACATTTCACCTGTCCCTAACACTTTCAGCCAGGGGCGGACTGGGACTACAAATCAGCCCGGGACTCTCGACCGCCCACTTCGGTACCGCAAGTAATTACCGCTAGTAAGTTGTCAACGGGGGGGGGGCCCACATCGTCCGACCGGCCCACTTCAGTACCGGCCCGTCGGGATTTGTCCCGAACGTCCCGATGGCCAGTCCGCCCCTGCTTTCAGCCAATAACCTTTAATTGCATCCCATGAAGGAATAATATATTTTATCTGCTAGGCTAAACATGTCCTAGACATTTTTCCACGCACAGAAACAGGGAGAACGAGGATTTTAAAAAGCACTTTAAAGTTGAGTCCTGCAGGATTTTGAATTTTGGCATAGTTACCTCTGAATATCTTAATTTTCTTGCATTGGCTCTCTAAAGAGGTAGTAGCACTGATGTGTTAATAAAATGTCACACTGCTCATGCCGACATTTAATTTGACAAGGACCCTATCCCTGAGCACGGAGATGAAATCAATACCCGTCTTCTCATCTGTCTCTTGTGAATTACTTGCTAAGTTGCTGCAGGTCCAGATAGAGAACATGATATTCCTCAGAGAGAGTCCTGCAGCCTCTGAAAACATGAGATCAAGTTTTATTCTATTTTTACAGAGGACAGGTAACTGAGACTCGTCCAGACAGGAACTCAAGATGGCCGACGACTGGTTCTGGCAGTGTGGGGGATGTTGATCTCTATCTCAACAACTAAACAAAGCTGGAGGAATGAGTCCCAAAACCTGGAAATGAGTCAGCGTTTTTGCACTTACTGCTCTCTATTCTCTAGAAGTTAATGGGTTTTTAATGCGTTGTTGGGATTGTCAAAATAATGTTCCTGTATATTAGTTCCTCCAATAGCCTAGCCTCCTTTAGCTTAGCGGTGGTGACGTGAAGTCATGTGACCGTGCTGTAGTTCCTTTATAGCTCAACATTAGCCTCCTTTAGCTTAGCGGTGGTGACGTGAAGTCATGTGACCGTGCTGTAGTTCCTTTATAGCCCAACATTAGCCACCTTTAGCTTAGCGGTGGTGACGTGAAGTCATGTGACCGTGCTGTAGTTCCTTTATAGCTCAACATTAGCCTCCTTTAGCTTAGCGGTAGTGACGTGAAGTCATGTGACCGTGCTGCTATAGTAAGGTGACCAGATTTTCAAAATTAAAACCGGGGACATTTTGAGTTTTGCGGTCAATATATCATTAACATATCCAATTTTCTTCACTGTCAAAGAAAAAAGGGGGACAATTCTGGTTTAATGTAATTCGAACATTTGAACTGTTGGATACAAACAGAAGGACGATAGCTCATATATGAGACTTCAAAGGTCTTTTATCTTGAAACTCTACTTCAGATTGTCCTGATTTTCTCCGATTGACTAGATGGGGTCTCCTGCTATCACCCTGGAGGGAAATAAGTATTTGATTGACTTCGAATGACTCTTTGATTATGGACAGTTTACATTAAAATCAAAATATAGATGGACAATAGATCTAATTTGAGATTTTAAACAGCATACATTTCAAATTGTGCTTCAGAAAGTAATGTTATTTTAGGAGTGTTGTGAGATGGTGTCAACATCAATTGAAATTAGTCACCCAGTGGAAATGTCAGATATGTCTTCATAGCTGTATAGGCTACTTACATTGTACATTCACTCAGTTATAATGTGGTAGTTATACTAGTTTGTTTTAAATTATTATTGATCACATTATATAGTACATATTTCTTATTTTAAGCTCCAGTATATATGAATATGTTTGGTGTGTTTTTTAGGTATATCTGTTATTGACCGAGTAAACGCTTTTATTTTGAAGGCAGTTTTTACAGGCCTCTATCTATCTATTCGCACACCGCAATACAACGTGCGGGCTGGCTTGACTGTGTTTTCCGAAGTGGGGGCTGGCTTGACCGCAGTCTGTTTACACAGTGTTTCCTGACATGAAACGTTTTATTTCACCTTGCTATATGTTTTTAACGTATATTAAAAAAACGGGGACATTTCCGGGGACAGTTTCAACCGGGGAGCGGCCAATACAAACGGGGACTGTCCTCGGAAAACGGGGACGTCTGGTCACCCTACTTTATAGCCCAACATTAGCCTCCTTTAGCTTAGCGGTGGTGACGTGAAGTCATGTGACCGTGCTGTAGTTCCTTTATAGCCCAACATTAGCCTCCTTTAGCTTAGCGGTGGTGATGTGAAGTCATGTGACCGTGCTGTAGTTCCTTTATAGCCCAACATTAGTCTCCTTTAGCTTAGCGGTGGTGACGTGAAGTCATGTGACCGTGCTGTAGTTCCTTTATAGCCCAACATTAGCCTCCTTTAGCTTAGCGGTGGTGACGTGAAGTCATGTGACCGTGCTGTAGTTCCTTTATAGCCCAACATTAGCCGCCTTTATCTTAGCGGTGGTGACGTGAAGTCATGTGACCGTGCTGTAGTTCCTTAATAGCCTAACGTTAGCTTTGACTTCAGAAATCATAAAGTGGTGTTAATATGTGGAGATTATCCTGCTGAACTAATCGTCTCAGTATTATAAACGTTTGTTTGACACATAGATTAATTTCTGCAATAATCCAAAATCACATGAACAAATCCCATTGGCTTTTATTGGAGGGAACCAGGGAGATGCTCCAGGTGACTTTGGATGTGAAACCAATTCATCCTAATTAAACTGTGATCACCTGCAAGGATCGCAGTCATTAATCAGGGAGTCATTGACCACACACTGTGACTGACAGGATAATTACACCAGCAGGGATGTGGGTCAGGACGTTTATTAATAACCTCACATAGTGGAGGAAGACGAGGAGAGCAGAAAGACAGGTTGATTTAACAAACACTAACATATTCATTATGTACACACACACACACACACACACACACACACACACACACACACACACACACACACACACACACACACACACACACACACACACACACACACACACACACACACACACACACACACACACACACACACACACACACACACACACACACACACACACACACACACACACACACACACACACACACACACACACACACACACACACACACACACACACACACACACACACAAATGTTTAACCTGTGTAAAATTGTAAACTACATTTTGTAAACGTCTTGGAAGTTTATCAGTGAGGATATTTTAACCTATGGTTGGAAGAAGTATTCTGATTCTTTACCGCAGAGAAAGCACTTATAATATACTGTGAAAATACAAGTATAAGTCCTGCATTACAATGGTATACTTAGGAGAAAGTAAGTTGAAGTTATAAAAGTATTGATTGTGCAGTAAAATTAAGTACTGAAATGCTCTCTATTAGCTGCTGATCTCTGGTTTGAATTGTGTTCAGGGCCTGTGGGAACTTTAAACATGCTTTGTCCTTGCACCCAACAGAAACATCTCAAACTAAAAGTCATTATGTTGTTATAAAATGACACCCCGTCCCCTGATGTCCAGCATTGAGAACAACAGCGAGGGCCCAGGGCGGAAAACACACACATTTATATTTTTCTCATTATAGCCACAGCCTTCATTATTCAGCCGCCAGGGTCAGCCTGCTGCTTCCTGGTTAAATGAGCAGCTGAAGCTCTATATTAGGAGAGGAACGGACGCCTCAGAATAACCGACATCAGTCACCAGGAAACTCAACACGTCACTGCAGGACGGAGAGAAGCCGAGCTAAACCTGGAGTGCAAGAATACAAAGAGTAACTGATGCACAAAACTATATCTATTTAAACTATATCAAGTTATTTGCACATTTCTGCACAATATATGTTACTTGTTGGACGCTTTTATCCAAAGCGAGTTACATACTCAATACTGTGGGCAATCTCCACAGGAACAATTTGGGGTGAAGTGTCTCAAGGACACAACGACATGCTGACTGCAGTGGGGTTTGAACCTGTGACCCACTGGATCCGAACACCAACGTACTAGTCCACAACGCCACAGCCTCGCTGTGTATACAATCGACTTAAACGGCACTGCTCTTCCACTTTCTGATATACTTCCCACCCCTCTCTGTATGTAAAGTGGTGCAGGGATGTCATATTTCTGCAGTAGACCCTGAAGGCAGCATCTCCCTTGTTTCGTCCACAAAAAGCCAATGGAATTTCTCCATTGGCCGGAAGTAAAAAGCTAATGTTGGGCTATAAAGGAACTACAGCACGGTCAGATGACTTTACCTCACCACCGCTAAGCTAAAGGCGGCTAATGTTGGGTTATAAAGGAACTACAGCACGGTCACATGACTTCACGTCACCACCGCTAAGCTAAAGGAGGCTAATGTTGGGCTATAAAGGAACTACAGCACGGTCACATGACTTCACGTCACCACCGCTAAGC